AATATTACCCTGTATTTTCGTAAATTATCATGATATAAACAATATTTTTCTAGTAATTTATCCACGATTTCTTATTTATTGATTACTTGTCTTTTTTATTTTCTCACTTATTGTTTTTAGGCTTACCAAGAATTCTTGCCTATCCTCTTAACAAATTATCCATCTAGGTAATGCCTCTTCTCAACAGTGAACCGTTTGTAAAATCTCAACCTCCTGGCGATTTAGATCCCGACGAAGAACTATTTTTTTCGCCAGTTACTTTAGAAATATTTCGGGACTATGAGTGAGTTTCCTACAATTGCTGACTTATCTCATTCTATACTGATTTAATTTTAATTGATATAATCTAATTCTCTTAAGTGAATTTTTCGAGCGAACTATTTTGGTGAATAGTGTTGCATGGCAATGTGGATCTTGTAATGCGGATCAATTAACATATTTGGAAGCACTAAACTGCGAAAAGTCTCACTGGCAACAGCTGACAGCCTTCGGTCGAGTATTGCCTCGTGGACTTTTGCATATTGCGCTCCAAGCACGCCATACTAGACTTCAAGATCTCATAGAACTCCTTCTGGGGTTCGCTTCCTCTCGTTTTTTTGTTGGAGAATCTATCGAAATATTGAGGGCTTCCACAAATCAAGAAATAAATCAACCACCTCAGAATCCGGTAGCAGAATCTATGCCGTGCGCGGTTTCTTTTGGGTAAGGCTCCCTTCAATTTTTATCAATGATTGTCTTGCAGTTTATGTTGAGTTCCGTCACTTTCAAAGGCCTCTGTGAATTTAACAAATTGGCCTTTGTTTATCTTATTTTGTAAATTGAAGGGGCTAAAATTTTCCAATTGGTACTCACTGTTTGGCTCAATTTAAATATATAATGCCTTGTTTTATTTTCTTATTATATTCATTAGGCCAATGAATCATATTTTCAACCATTTCTTTTTTTATTTATTATATTTTTAAGTGCTTCCACTCAGGGAGTTATCGAGCAAGTACTTCTAAACGCAGAAGTAAATTTACGTTTTCCTAAAAGTACTGCATCTGAAGGAATAAAAGTAGGTCCCTATCTTATGTAATTTATATTTTCGTACAAGATTTTCCTATCTTTCTGCTTTTTATTTTTTAATTCTTTTTTTTCAATCAGGTGATCCGTCCTGCAGTTCCCGATGCTGCCGAGCTATGCTACCGTGTTTCAATCATCTCTCCAGATTACGGTCATTCACGGCCCTCTTCTGCACAGCCATCTTTAGCAACCCGGCCTTCGAGTGGATCTCAGCCTACTTTCGTAACCCTACCCGCTCATCAGATTAAACGCCGATCGTGTTCAACCCTTAACAGGGAAACATTGCGTTCTTTTATCCTGCAGACTTGCGAGATGCGCAACGGCCTTCTTCTACCAAAGGTTGCTAGCCTAATTAGTGAACAATTTAAATGTTTTGCTTACATTTATCTATAGGCTGCACTAACATATTTGTTTGTCTGAATATATAAAAGTTTTAAAATCTTCGGTATGCTGTTTGGAGGCGACTGAATAAATCATTTAGATACATATAATCTAGCGTTATAGAAGCTCCATAAAAAATCCTGATTAAAATTCTTTTTTTCGGGTGCATAACTTCAAAATCGTAAATTGTTCTAATCGCCAACTGAAAGAGAAGATACTGTTGGACTGGTCAAATAAATCATCGCTTCGCTGTTCTGAAACCAGATTAATCTGTGTCAAGCCTTCATCTGTACGAATACATTTGAGTATATTGGTGCTTTTTTGTGGCTGGTGGCATCTGGCTCTAGCGACATCTGTTGCGTGACATGAAAGTTCAGCACGGATTCATCATTACAACAGGATATTGAATCAATAATTTGACTTAATTAGTCTGCTTTACAAAGCAATCTTCCTTCGGTTTATAG